GCTAAGCTATAACTCCAAAATTAAGCGTTCTTAACCAAGACACAAGGTCTAATATGACGGTGCTCACTCGCACTTTTTTCTCATCATAATAAAAAGATCTACTGCCTTTTTACAGTAGATCTCAAATGATTTTATTATTCAGCTATGTAACCCTTATCTGAGTTAGCTATATCTGCATCTACTGCGTTCACTTGAGTACGAGGTTCAAATGCTTTATATGCAATTGTACCAGTTATTAGTGAAACTGCTGCAATTACAAGAACTGCTATCGCTATAGGAAATAGCTCAACAGGAAAGTCTCCTTTTGCAATAATCAACGCTAGTATAAACGCTTCAAATGCTGCGGTTGCACAAAAAGCAACAGCACCTGCTATAATTGGTTTAAAACGTTGTTTTCTTCCTTCCCTAGGGTCTTGATGTAAAATGGTTACTCTGTGTGAATATTCTGCCTCTCCATTAACATTTTTACCCGCTCCTGGAGTAGTGTCCGAATATGTATGTGATCTTAAAGCATCTGCTGCATTTACATGACCTTTATCTCTAGCATAAATCAAAGCAATTTTTTTATTATTATCTATAGCATAAGCATATGCACCTCCTGCTAATAGAGCCTTTATTACATCTGTATGGCCATTTAAAGCAGCCAAGTGTAAAGGAGTTTTTTCTTCATTATCTTTAGCATTAACATCTGCATCTGCTTTTATTAGAGCATTTAATACTTTTACATAACCGTTTTGAGCAGCGATATGCAGTAATGTGAAATCTCCATCATCTTTTTTGAATCGATTATTTATATCAAAATCGTTTGCTTTCTGCTCTCTCTGTAAAAATTCTTTTACTACTGGNTACCTTTTTTAGCAGCCAAATGTAAAGGAGTTCTTTCTTTGTGATCTTTAGCATTAACATCTGCACCTCCTGCTAATAGAGCCTTTAATACTTTTACATAATCGTTTTGAGCAGCGACGTGCAGTAATGTAAACTCTCCATCATCTTTTTTGAATCGATTATTTATATCAAAATCGTTAGCTTTCTGCTCTCTCTGTAAAAATTCTTTTACTACTGGAACTACATGATCTGGGTCAAAATTTCCATCAGAGTTTATTTGACCTAATATTGCTTTCAATTTTTCATACATAAGCTTATCTTTGAATTAACTATCTTAATATTATAATACATTTAATTAAAAAATCAATATCTTTTTAGCGCTTGAGAAAAGAAATCTACTTTTACGGTGCCTGCTCAAGAAGAGCTGTTAAGTTATTCTGTTTTGGTTCGTCTACTTGAGTGCTAGGCTTAAATGCTTCATATGCAAGTATACCAGTTATTAGTGCAATTGCTATAATGACAATAATTGCTGGCGTCATAGAAAATTGCTTAATAGGAAGGTTTTCTGTAGTAGTAAGTAATGCTGCTACTCTAATTCCTAATGCTGCAGTTACAAGACAAACAGAGATACCTATTATAATTGGTATAAGATAGTATATTTTTTCTGCTGTCTCCAAAAGCTGCTCTTTTTCACTCTTTCCAGCTAGGCTCTGTGAACCAAAATTTGGAGAAATAAGAAAAAAGTGGTAGTTTAACCGTGAATAAATAAGGAGAAACTACCAAATGAAATATTACATACAAGAAACAAAATGGAAACAAATTTTTGCAAATTTGAAAAGCGTAAAAGGAATACACAGTAAAAACGAAGATCGGATAAGAAGGTTCATGGAATCAGTGTGGTACATGGCTCGAAGTGGTTGCCAATGGCGACTTTTACCAGAAATATATGGCAATTACAGAAGCGTACATAAGAGATTCAAAAAGTGGTGTGAAAAGGGAATTTGGGAAAAGCTGCTCAAATATACACAAGATCCAGATTTGGAAGTGCAAATGATAGATGGAACAATCGTTAGAGCACATGCTTGTGCGGCTGGATACAAGAAGGATACCGGAGCTCAAGAAGCACTGGGACGCAGCAAAGGTGGCTTTACAACAAAGATACATGCTCTTGTTGATGCTCTGGGAAATCCGCTTAAATTTACTTTAACTGCTGGTCAAAGGAACGATATTACACAGGCTGAAGCATTAACTGAGAATGTCTCAAATTCAGTTGTGGTGGCCGATAAGGGCTATGATAGTAATGCTTTTATTGTGGGTCTTGAGAATAAAGGGTGTGAGGTTGTTATTCCTCCGAAGCGTAACCGAAAAGTGCAGAGGTATTATGATGAGCATATTTATAAAGAACGTCATTTGATTGAATGCTTTTTCGGCAAAATAAAACATTTTAGGCGGATTTTTTCAAGATTTGATAAGACTGCCACGGTTTATTTAGGCTTTTTAAACTTCGTTGGGGCCCTCATATGGCTTGCTTAAAATTTTGGTTCACAGAGCCTAG